CGATTCAGACCCAAAGTGACCCTGTATAGGGTTTCTGAGAAGCAGCTGGTGAGCTTGAACCACTGACCTTGCAGTTCAAACAACTTTGCATTCTGACGCATTAGCCCACAGTTTTAGCAAGGAATTAGCTATTGATTTTGCCAACATCTGTCACAGGATCTACAGCATCGTTTTTATCACAAAGCCATATTTTCCAACTAGTGCTCCTTGATCTTTGTTTCCAACTGTTTGCGTTCCAACCACCAGTGATCATCAATGCATTTTGATTGCATGTTTGATCAATTTCAGACTGAAGAAGTTGGTAGAATTCTTTAATTTCTTCATTTTTGGCTTTTTGTTGGTGTGTAAATTTGGATAATAGTCATATGAACTGCTCTTTCACCCAGTGGTTAGAGCATACTTTTTTTTTTTTAATCCCTTGTTGAATGAATTACATTGGTGGGTACAAAATGGTGATTTTTATAATTCTAAGCATAGTGGTTACAAGTTGGGTTGCTAACCTCAATGTCAGTGGTTCGAAACTACCAGCTGATGCACCGGAGAAGGATGAGGCTTTATGCTTCCGTAAAGATTTACAACCTTGGAAACACTGTACAGGGTTGCTATGAATCGGAACCGAATCCACGGCACATAACCACCAGATCATTTCTTCTACATTTAGTAGCAGATATACAAGGGGGCTTCAAAAAAGCCCATGGAAAAAATCTATTAGCTTTTCATTCCACTTTTCCATGAACCTCTTGAAACCTCCTCATACCAATGAACTTTACCACCTCTATTTTCAGTATGCTTTTGTGTTCAGTTTTTTATTTAATGTGCTATAAGCCATCACCATAATTCTTTTGATATTTAAATTGTCCCAAATTTTGCCAGTGGGAGCTGTTTGGAACCAGCTTCTGATATCTGTTTGCTATGTCACTGTTATCAATTGGGCATTCCCTGGTGGTACAGTTAATGGTTAGCACAAAGCTGCTAACTGAGACTGGAAGTTGTAGTCCATCCAGAGGTGTCTGGAGATACAGGGCACATTTCTGATTGACTTGACTGCATCTGGTTATCGTTTGTTGAGCATTTCCTTATTTTGTGACACAGGATTCTGCAGACTCACCTTGGGTTTTCACTGCCTTGTCAGTGAGATGAAATAAGCCATTTCCCTAAGGGAATGTTAAGTGCTGTCAAGTCAGTTCTGACTTATAATGAACCTTATAGGGTTTCCAAGGAGCAACTGGTGGGTTTGAGCAATCTTGCAGTTAGCAGTCCAGTACTTATCCTACTGTGCCCCACCAGGACTCCTACTAAGGAATGTTGTTGTTGTTGTTAAGTGCCGTCGAGTCGGTTCCGACCCATAGCGACCCTGTACAGGGTTTCTGAGGGTGTAAATCTTTACGGGAGTAGAAAGCCTCATCTTTCTCCCGCGGAGCGGCTGGTAGTTTCGAACCGCTGACCTTAAGGTTCGCAGCCCGATTCGTAGCCACTACGCTACCAGAGCTCCAATAGTACTTAGAAATTAAGATATTATTGTTAGTTGCCCTTCATTACTACATGGGTATTGTTGCTTCGGGGTTTGCTAGTGAACAAGTTCCAAGTACATACTATGGGAGCCTTGGTGGCTCAGTGCTTAAGCACTGTGCTAACTGAAAGGTTGCCATTTTGATCCCATCAGCTGCTCCTTGGGAGAAGGGTGTGGTTGTCTGCTTCCCTAAGATTACAGCCTTGGGAACCCTATGTGACAATTCTTTGAAAGGGCTTCAAAAAGTTCGTGGGAAAATTCTATTTTTTATGAACTTTTTGAAGACACCTCATATTTTGTCCTAATCGGTTACTATGAGTCAGAATTGACTTTATGGTGAGTCAAGAATTCCTAGTGGAAGAATTCCTAGTGACACAGTGGTTAATTACTTGACTGCTAACTGAAAGGTCAGTAGTTCAAGCCCACCGTAGAGTTCACTGAGTCAGAAACTTCACGTTTTATGAGACCCATCATTCTTGTTGTATCTCAAACATTACAATTTAAAACATTTAATCGGATACAGAATTGCTTGAATATATTTGAAATTGAAAAAAACTCTAAAATTATATGTAGGTAATGAATGACTGGTGTGTCGCTGCGGGGTTAATGTGCCAGACTGCAAAGCCATTTGAACTGCAAGGTCAATGGTTCAAGCTCACCAGCTGCTCCTCAGAAACCCTATACAGGGTCACTATGGGTTGGAACTGACTGGTGGCATTCAGCAACAATACAGCAAATGATGGTTTTTAGGTGCCATTAAATCAGTTCTGACTCACAGTAACTCTGTATAGGGTTTCCAAGGAGCAGCCAGTGAATTTGAACTGAACACCTTGCGGTTAGTTCAGCATTTACCTTATGATCCCACATCAGGACTGCAATGATTTCTTTCACCTATGAGACTGTTAAGCACTGGACCACAAGGTGAGTTTGAACCACAAAGTTGGTGGGTCAAATCCACCAGCCACTCCTCAGAAACCCTATACAGGGTCCCTATGAGTCGGAATTGACTCAACGGTACTTTACAATTCAAAACATGTAGTTTAATTAATCAATTCCACTCCTAAAAATTTAGTCTACAGAAATGTAAGTGTGCAGACTTGTCCAAGGATGCTCATTCTGCAGTGAAAAACTGGAAACCCATCTGTCTACTAATAGAAAAGTGCTCATTATATATATATCATGACATGATCTACATGCATGGCCTTTCTTAGAATCAATTTCTTCAGAACTTCCATTTAAAGATTGTATATTTTTGCAGTTTTGCTCCTCCCTTGTTACTAAAACTTCAGTAAAGGGATTTAAAAAAAATTTATTGTGAATTGAGTGATTAATTTACATGGGGGAACATCAGTTTTACACTTGTTTCATTGCAATGATTACAATCTCCTCTGTGCATCATGATTCAACAGTATTTGCTTCTATTCCGTTTGTTTTTTGTAGAGAGGGGTTAGCTTTTTTAAAAAAAGTTTTTATTGTGAATTGCGTGATGGTTTACATGGGAAAACATTGGTTTTATTCTCATCATTTCATTGCAATGATTACAGTCTCCTCCATGGATCATCATTCAACAGTATGTTTGCTTCTATTCCCTCTGGGTTTTATTTTTTTTTTCTTTTCTTTTATTTTTCCCTTGGGGGTGGTGGTGGTGGTGGTGGAATGTACACAAAAACACTCAGGAATATATAATTATTTAAACAACCAAATGGCACATTCTGCAAGCCTGCCTCCTGGCTGCCAGCACACAGCCTTTCTTTTTCCATGAGTCTAGGGTTCTCAGCTGTTCTCTTTCTCCATGTCAATAAATGGGACTTTTTAAAATATGAAAACACCAGTAACAATTGTTAAACAATTCCCAGATCCTTTTCCTCCCTGTGACACCCCTGGGAGACTACCCCTTGCCAAGGCCAGCAGAAGCCCAGAGGTTTATTCTTTGGATGGAAAACCTGTCTTTGGACTAAGGGATACTAGAGCCTATGAGTGCTGGTGCATGTAGTGTCCTGACAAGACCTGGGAGGGCAGGAGTCTGCTGCTGACTGCTGGTGTTCCTATTGTGCCCCCACCCCCCACCTGGTGCCCAGGTGCTAACACTGACAAAAGCTGGGAGGGCAGGAGTCTGTTGCTGCATGCTGGTGTCCCTATTGTGCCCCCACCCCCACCTGGTGCTCAGGTGCTAACACTGACAAGAGCTGGGAGGGCAGGAGTCTGTTGCTGAATGCTGGTGTCCCTATTGTGTGTGCCCCCACCCCCACCTGGTGCTCAGGTGCTAACACTGACAAGAGCTGGGAGGGCAGGAGTCTGTTGCTGAGTGCTGGTGCCCCCGCCCCCACCTGGTTCCCAGGTGCTAACACTCAAATCTTCAATCTAGGAAGTTTTGAAGAGTCTTCTATGAAGAGGCTCATGGTCAAAGAGCTCCACCCAAGTAGAGTTGATAGTCATATTTTCAGTCACCTACTCTGTAGAACTGGGCTGCTAATCTCATAATCAGAAGTTCAAAGCTACCAGCAGTTCCATGGGAGAAAAAAATGAAGCTTTCTGCTCCCATAAAGATTTGTAGCCTCGGAAACCCTGCACAGGATTGCTATGAGTCGAACCAATTCCACAGCACACAACCACCACCATCACTCTGTAGGATCAGCACTGTACGTATGAACCATAAGGTTGGCAGTTCAAATCCATCAGCTGCTCCTTGGAAACCCTATGCAGGGTCACTGAGTTGAAACAGGCACAATGGCACTTAACAATAACTTTTAAATAAAGGTGTTCTGGTGGTGATGGTGTGCCGTGGAGTCAATTCCAACTCATTCTGAGGCTGTAAATCTTTACAGGAGCAGAAAGCCTCACCTTTCTCACGCGGAACAGCTGGTAGTTTTGAACTGCTGTCCTTGCAGTGAGTAGTGGATTACACTGGGCTGCTAAACGCAAGGTCAGTGGTTTGAATCTACTAAGCTTCGCGGGAGAAAGATGAGGCTTTCTGCTCCCATAAAGGTTTCTTTCCAGCCTGGACACCCTATACATACAGGCTCACTATGAGTTGGAAGTGACTCAGTGGCACATAACCACTCTTAAAACAACTGAGGATTAACCAAAACTCTAGTTCACAGTCACAATGAATTTCCGTTGCATATTTTTCTTTGGTTTAGTTAAAAAACATTTTTTTACAGCTTTAAAAAAATGTAATTTCTTCACTCCATGGCCCTAGTTTACCAATCCCATATTCAAATGACATATATACCTGTACATGTTTATCCTATGTATGAGAAACGGCAAATGACTCCAGTAGCATTTTAACTGTTTTTCTCTTTGAAAGCAAAAGAATGGAAGCTTGGGCCGAGCTTGTTATTTGTACATATCTTTGATTAAGATACTTTTTAAGGCTGTTAGAGAACTACACAGCAAGAAGAGCTTCTTAAGTCATTATTTTAAATGTTTAACACCTAATTTCGAAAACCATTATTGTTCTAATATCAAAAAAAGAACAGTGAATTTTTAAATTTCAAGTTGTTTATTGTAAGATAATTTACAAATATCTTGCTGTCTTTTTAATAATTTGAACAATGTCTTCTGACAAGGAAAGCAGTTAAGCACAACAAGATCAGCTGCCTTAACTTCTCTTCTTTACCTGAAAAATAAAGTATGGAACAAGTGAAAATCAAATAATATTTTTTTGGAAAATAATACTGTCAAGAGATGATAAGAATTTAAAGTGGGGTTTAAATAACTGGATTTATGTGTTATTGTACACCAGCAATTCTCAAATTTCGGTCTGTGGACCCTTTCATGGGTCAGTGAGAGCAAAACGATTTTATTTAATAATAGTGTTATTATCAGTTTTGCTCTTATTCTCTGTAGTATAGAGTGGGTTTTCCAGAGGGTACATGAAACATGATATTGTAACAGAATGAATGCAAAAGTAAATGAAAATCCAGTTGTCTTCTGTTAAAATCAGGTGTGAAAAGTATAAAAGGGATCCTAAGACCATAAAGTTTGAGAACTAGCATTCTATTATTAACTAGTCTGTATTTAGTACTTTTTGAAAAACAAAACACCTACTAATTTTCTACCCTCAAAGTTTATTTCATGGTATATCTCATCTGACCAATGAACTAGATTTCCTATGTCCAACACATTTTAAATGTTGGCGCCCACAAGTTAGCAGCTACTATATATTGGCCCCATCAACCCAAATCTCTTAGAGAAACAGTCTATTTCTAAATTAGTGTCAATTATATCTGGCTGAACTTCTTTTCTGGAAAGGTATAAAATCTTACCACTTTACCTCTTGTTTGAGGATGACACTTGATTTTCATTAATCCCTGGTTATTATATTAGAAGAAAAAGACAAACAAACAAGCACGTCAACAAGCAATCCATGCACATATAACTTCCAACTACAAAGGTCCATTTCTTTATCCATTCCACCTGAACACACCACATAAATACTTACCAAAATACTTCCTCAAAGCACACTCAATGATAGTTATTAAAAGTTATAGATTTCAATCTGGTTAGAAGCAACGAAACCAATCTTATGCAAGATGATGAAACAATAATGAAAACCACTACTTTTTTTAAAAAATGTATTTAAAAATTTTAGGCTGACAACTACTACTTGGCACTTCAGATATTATTGTTACTTATTTTACTACTAAATAGCCAAACTATTTGTTTTAAATGTTAAAGTCTTTATAACAAGAATGAATAATTTATAGATTAGCACATGCAAATCCATTCATATAAATGATCCAATATGGAACCCACAAACTAAGTTTTTATGAAAGGATTAGTGAAAATTTATTAATTTCCAATGATCTGAATCCTGAATTCTTATTTCCCCCACTATCAATTTTGTGCCACATTTCCTTCTCACTTGTTTTGATTTTGCGTTTTTCAGTAAGGCTTTCTCTCTATTCCTAATCAGTTTTTGATTAGACTTCAATCTTGCCAAGGTTCATTCCTAGCAGTCCCTTTTCAAGAACAGAAAAGGGACTGCTAGGAATGAACCTTGGCAAGATTGCATCTCATGCAACCCTCTGAACTACTGAGCCTCAAAAATGCCTCAGAATGTAGATTTTCCTCCAGGTTCCTTACATTTAAGACCAAAGAAGAAATCAGCTTAGTATTAACAAGAGGATATAAGAGGGGGCTTAAAAAAGTTCCTGGGAAAATGGAATTAAGAGAGAGTGATTTTTTGTGTCATGAGCTTTTAGTAGCTCCCTCGTATAACAAGGATAATGACAAAATTGAGACAAGACAAGAGTATTTTAATTAAGTTTTTACAAAACAAGTGGCAGGCCATTCAATGCATACTGTACTCTAACATGCTAATACAACCATTAGTGGCCAGGCTGAGAGATGGGTTAGTCCTAACAAAGTAAGAAAGGAAGAAGGGTGTTTCAGACAGCAACTAACAACTTATAAAACAGTCTCTGTTGGCTCCATCAGTTTTACTCGTCTCTCTTTGATATTCTACCCAGTTCCCACTTTTGAAATGATACTTTTAAGGATCTACTTAAATGCCATTTTAATGATAAAGCCTTCTCTGGTTCTCAAAATAATGTTATTTCTTCCTCTTCTAAATTTCTAGTTCTTAATACACATGTGGCACTCATTCATTTATTCAACCAACAATTATTAAGGATTTATGTGCCAGGTAATGGGGGCACAAAAGTTAATAAGGAGTATACAAACAAAAAAGGAATTCTTAATAAAATGTTTCAAATGCTATGAATAAGTGAAGTACAGGACGAGAAAGGCAGGGATGAGAAAGCGAAATGACTCCCCTAGTCCAATTAGGAAGGGTACGAAACAGCCAGCAAGCTGAAGACTCAAGGGGCCAAAGAGAGGATAAGAATGGCATTCTAAACAAAAGCAGCAGCATGTGCCAATTCACAGATGTAAGAAGTTCAAGGGAAATGAAAACTGGTAGTAGCAACAGACTGTTGTTGTTAAGTCCCATCCAGCTGGTTCCAACCCTTGTATAGGGTTTCCAGGGAGCAGGTGATGAGCTCAAACCACTAACCTTGCAGTCTAAACCAAACTTGCAGTTTAGCACATTAACACACAGTACCACATGATTAGACTGGAGAAAAGGGTTGATGGACAGAAAATGTACGATCACATGTATCACTGTCATAGACTGAACCGTGTTCCTCCAAAATATGTGTCAATTTGGTTGGGTCACGATTCTCAGTGGTTTAGCAGTTAGATAATGATGTAATGTGGCGGTTATGTGATAAACCACTCAGAGGATTAAGGGTGAGCTGCAATACCCTTGGAGTCCTGGCGTGTTGCTAGAGGAAAAGCACTGGACTGCAAGGCTGACAGTTCAAACCCACCAGCCACTCCTCGAAAACCCTGTAGAGGGTCACAGTGAGTTGGAACCGACTGGACAACACTGAACAAAAACAGCAGCAGCAATACCCTAATCCCATCACAGCCCTGAACTGATGGAAGGAAGTTTCCCAGGAGTATGGCCTGTAACATCTTTTATCTTATCTTACAAAGATAAAAGGAGAAAGAAGTGAGCAGACAGAAGGGGTTGGGGGTGGGGTGGGGGTACTACTACCACCAAGAAAGCAGAGTCAGGAGTGGAGTGTGTCTTTTTGACCTGGGGCCCCTTCACAGTGAAGCACCTGTAGGGTAGTCTATTCTTTTCCTTATGATGCTCTATCAAAAGGGTAAGCAAACTGTTTCCTGTACATCTTTCAGGCTTTGTAGGTCACATGCAGTCTCTCCCTCTAACCCTTCAAAAATGTAAAAACTCACCAGTTTGTTGACCCCTGCTCTATTGGAATTAATTTCTTATTTAATGTCTGTCCTCCCTGTGACGATGGTGAGCTTTTTGAACACAGACACTATTATCACTAACTCCTCAATACAGGGCCTGCCACTTGAGAGATGCTCAAAAATTAAGTTTTTGATTCAAGAGAGAAATGAAAAGGATCTGAATTAAGTGGGCCTAAAGAAGGAAAAGGATTCAAGAAATAGTAAGGAGACTTGATCAATTAGTCGGAGGTAAGTGTGAGTCAAAAAATAACTCAATATCCATTTTCTTTTATCATAATTATCTGTATGTTTTATATTTCTTATCCTATCCCTTAAATCTTTATGATTCCACAATGCCTAGCACTGTACTTGTACATAGTGGGTATTCAATTTAATACTTAAAAAATAAACAGGCAGTATAAATGACACTGTATTATCCATATCTTTGTTTCCTAAAACTTTAGGCAAGTGAAAGCTAACAATATACTACTTTCTAAATAGAAGAAACCAAGCCTGAATGTCTCAGCTGAAACAATCAGAATAAACTGGTGAGATCCCATTTTCACCAAGTTTTTATATCCTAAGAGTATAAGCATATTAAGATTAAGCACTAGATCATTTAATCTGTAAAGACAAAACAGACAACTTTCATGCATCCAAAGGTTATACTAACAGAACTGAAAGATGAGAAAAACTCTCTGAAGGTTATTTAAATTACTCACAGAGCAGCAGCACCAGAGATGATTTCAATCAACTCCTTTGTGATGACAGCTTGGCGGGTGCGGTTGAATGTCAAAGTCAGTTTGTCAATCATCTCAGCTATAAACAAAAACAGGCAATTAAATAGAAAACTAGAAAAACTTTAATAAACTCACTCAGAGAATTATGTTGCTTAATTAAAAATATGAGATAGGAAAATTAAGTTATAGTGCCTACTCTTGTTTGGGTACCTTGATACAATAATTGGTCTCTCAAAAATTTTCTGAAAAGAGTTTTGCATCTTCCATAGGATATCTTTTCAAAATACTTGCAAGCCTACTGCTTCCTCAAAATGATACTTCTCTTATATTCAAAGTATTATCTCATAATACAGATCAGATTTCATTTCTAATTTTTCAGATGAGAAAATTCAAGGAAAACAGTAACTGGTAAAATATATGTGTAGAGTCAATGGCAGAGCCCAGAGCTAGAGCCTAGCTATTGTGCTTCCTGGTCTATTTAAAGAATGGCATTGTTTTCAGGTTAGGATCATCATGCTGTTCTCAGCAACAGAGTCCTCAAAAGATAGAAAGTATGCTTACAAGCATTCTTGCTAGCATTGTCCATAGCTGTCATCCTTGCACTTTGCTCACTAGTGGTGGACTCCTTTAAAGAGTAGTAGATGATATTTGCCAGATTGTATTCTTGGTAATTTTGCAGCACATCAGCATCAATATCATCATAGACACTCATGCTCTCTGTTAAAACAAATGAAAAATTTCTTTGAAGTTATAAAGAACAAAGATCTACAAACACAACTGCAGAGTAGGAATCAATGTAAGATAAGTAAAAGAATCTGTCCTAAATGATTATGTTATACCAGCTTTCCAGCAAAACGTGAGGTAAATAAAGTGTTTGATATTTTATTTCCTGTGCTTAATAAACATTAGAAGTCAACATTTAAAATGGAAAAGTGTACAAGTTAGTTCCCGGGCCACAAATGTCCAACTGATGTACAACACTTACTTGCCCTTTAATGTAGGGCTTTGAACCAGTTCTGTCATGGGCAAAAAAACAATACAGGAACAGAATGGTAGTTTTATAATTTGGGTGACCTGTCAAAGTAACTGGAAAGGAAAAAATTATAGGTCGAAGCTCTGGAAAAGGAAGATATATCAAGAGCCGATACGTGACACTGGATTACTCGCAGAACCCTGGAGACTACACACATTCAAAGCCAGGGTTAGCTGCTGTCTTTGTCTTTGAAGCCTTGCTTTAATGTTACATAAATCTGCCTCTTTTTGAAACAGTTGAATCAACAAATTCTTTATCGAAATCACCTTCGTGTATAGCTTTTATCTCATTAACAAAGCCTTGAGCCTTTTCTTGCACGAAAGTAAGGTTAACTGTGTGTACCTGTTCTGACTATAGATTTTTAGACACAGCTATGAATGTGTCATTTAAAACACAGACTACATGTACATGTTGTTGTTAAGTGATGTCAAGTCAATTCTGACTCATGGAAATCCTGTACAGGATTTCTGAGGCTGTAAATCTTTGCGGGAGCAGAAGCCTCATCTTTCTCCCACGGAGTGGTTGGTGGGCTCAAACTGGTGACCTTGTGGCTCGCAATCCAGTGCTTATCTTACAGAGCCACCATACTCCTGAAATATGGTATATGGAAGGAAAAAAAAAATCTTAGTAAAATGAAATTTATTCCAGAATATTATTTTTGAATGTTTTAGACAGCAATCATGACATTATTCAATATTCAAATAGTAAAACAGGAATGTGTGAGTGGGTCAAGGTAAATCAGTGTTGAACATTCTTCAAAATCTGTTCTAGAGCTTCTGATTGACTGTAATTAGGTACGTTCCCTTACATATATTGCAACATGTCTAATTATAGCCCTCAATAGATTTTTAATGGTTTAATCAATGAAGAAATGGAATAAGATTTGTTAAGCAATGAAAGAACTAAGATAGGAGCAAGAAGCCACTACCAGATAGTATTTAACAGTCTAGAATATTCTTCTACTGAAAACAGGATATCCTAACAAACAATACTTTCATTATCATGCAAATCTCTCTTCTTTACATAGCAAACATAGTGGTCTCACAGAAGCTACTCACCAGCACTTGCAATGGTACTCAAGGAAAACAGGGGCTTTTCATCTGTCTTATAAGAGATGACAGACCTATAAATGGCAAAAACAAGTTTAATTTTCAAACAGTAAGTTTTAAACTGTTAGGTAGACACTTACTTAATTTAAAAGAAATAATTCAGTTCATGAACATAAGAAAGCTTTGATTTTTAAATCTATCTTGCCTGAATCTATTAAAGATGATAGATCCTTCATCAAATTCATATCCAGAATTTAGTAATTCAAGGGCAATAACAGATGCATCTCCAAAAGTAGGGGGTTTTCTTCCCACTTCTTTGAATGTCACCAGAAACTGGTCAGAATGAGTCCTACAAGAAAATAAAGTCATCACATTAAATAGTTTAACAAAATACTAAAGACTAAAAATGAAACATTTCTATTTTGATAATTCTGTCTTTATTTTCCTCCTTCTAATCATAAGGGGCTCTGGTAGTGTAGTGTTTACGAGTCGGGCTGCCAACCTCAAGCTCAGCAGTTCGAAACTACCAGCAGTTCCATGGGAGAAAGATGAGGTTATCTGCTCCCATGAAGATTTACAGCCTTGGAAATCCTGTGCAGTGTCACTATGAGTCGGAATCAACTCCACGGTACTTAACAACAACAAAAATCATAATGGTAAGGTGGCGGGTCAGAGAAAAAGAAGAAGACCCCCAGTGAGATAGATTGGCAAAGTGACAGCATCAGTAGGCTCAAGTGTTGCAATAATTGTGAGGTTGGCCTAGGACCAGGCAGTGTTTTGTTCTGTTGGCATAGGATCACTATGCTATGAGTTGGTACGGACTCAAAGGCACCTAACAACAATAATCATAATGAACTATTGACTATTGTTCATTTCTACTACTTCCAAGCTGTCATATCTCATTTGGATAAATGCCACCAGCTTTTGATATCCTCACAGTTTCTCAATTTATGGTTTGGAGGAAGAGGAAGTAAAAGACAAATAGAAAATAGGAGATATCTATATTCTAATAAATTCTTGAAAAAAAAAAAACCCCCAAAACACCACTCTGTAAATATAAAATAGATAACTAAAAAAGACATCCTGCTTAAATAAATTATCAAAGAAACTCTCACTTATTCCTATTTGCCTCCTTTAGAACAATACATATTTACATTACCTATAAAGTATGCCCCTGAGCTTATCACCAATTCCAACAAGCATAACTTCTTTTCCAGCTGCTGTGAGGGTGGCTACCTCACTTTTCATCTGTTTAGCAACCGAGGAATGAATGGCACCACAAAGCCCTCTATCTGAGGATACACCAATTATGAGGTGTTTCTTCTTGCCTTCAGGTGCCTTAATATCAGCTTTCTCATAGAGAGCTTAAAAGCAAACAAAAAGAACTTTAAAAAAAAATAATAAATGAACATAAATACAGAAACAATCCCTAGCTTACAAAAAAGTTGGCTGTTTTCAAAAAGATATATCAATATTTAGGTATCATTTGATCAATACAGTCAAAAGTGTCGGCGTACATAGTTCATTTCAATCAAGTTGAAAATCATTTAAGGGTCTAAATGTAAAGGTCTTAATATGGCAAATGTTTCTAAAGGCAAATTAATGGCCAACTTAATTTAAGTTGAAAATGCACTACAATTACTTATATACTAAATTACTGTAAAAATCCATGCAATTTTTATACTGGGGATTACTTAACAACCTCACTTTGTTGGTCTGGTCCTTCAAGAAACAGGGGCAAGGTAGGATTAAATGAGCAAAACTTTTCCTACGCAAAATGTTTCTCAAAGAAAAAAGGAAGGCAAAACAAAGAGAGCCTTCTGACCTCCATCCGAGTTTGACTCATGGAGAGAAGAGAGGGTAAAATGACTGGGTGGATGCTTCTTAGACTGCTGTGCAATTTAAGGAAAGTTTGGCAAGGCTATTTGGGAGCCCCCAAGTTAAGATAGCAAATCAGAGGCGGCCCATGTCTCCTCAGAACAAGCTTGCTTTAGTGTCTTTCTTGTGTTTGGTCACTGGCTAGAAGCAGCCAATGGAAGTGTGGTCTGGGTGCAGTGATGGGTTTTAGCAGCCTATAACTTGCAAGGTGATTTTTCATGGTTGCCATATTCACCACTTCAATAAAATTTCTCATTGTAAGGCAATGATTTTCAAATCTCAATACTTGAGGAGTCACCCCACCCTCATATAACAACAACAAAGAAGTAAATACTCAACTCTAAAGCCAGTGTGCCTAACCCAAACCATGGTATTTTCAATCAGTTCATATCCATGTGAATACTGGACAACGACTAAGGAAGACCAGAGTTGGTGAAGAATACTGAAAGTACTATGGACTGCCAAAATAACAAATCTGTCTTGGAAGAAGTACAGTCAATATGCTCCTTGGAAGAGAGAATGGTGAGGCTTCATCTTGGATACATCAGGAGGGACCAGTCCTTCGTAAAGGACATTATGCTTAGTAAAGGGTAAGCGATAAAGAGGAAGACACTTAACAAGATGGACTAACACTGTGGCTCCAACAATAGGCTCAAACATAACAACTGTGAAGACAGAGCAAGACTGGGCAGTGTTTCATTCTGTTATACACAGGGTCACTACGAGCGGAAGCTGACTTCACAACATCTAACAACAATAACATAGGCGGCCCTGGAGCAAGTTATTTAACTTCACAGTGTTTTGTTGTTGTTGTTATGTGCTGTGGAGTTGATTCCGACTCATAGTGACCCTGCACAGGGTTTCCGAGGCTGTTAATCTTTACGGGAGCAGAACGCCTCATCTTTCTCCCACGGAGCAGCTGGTTTTAGTTCTTCTCATTTGTAAAGCAGTGACTATAAAAATAATTACTACTTCATAGGGATGTTGTGAAAATGAAATGTATGTGAAGTACTCAAAATAGGCCTGGTATCATTGTAAGCAAGGAGCTCTGGTAGCGTAGTGGTTATGAGTAGGGCTGCTAACCCTAAGGTCAGCAGTTCAAAACTACCAGCTGTTGCACAGAAGAAAGATATGGATTTCTGCTCCTGTAAAGATTTACAGTCTCGGAAACCCTGTGCAGGGTTGCTATGAGTCAGAACTGACTGCATAGCACATAACCACTACTCACCACCATCAGTGTAAGCACTTAATAATAAAGTCATTGAGCTTTCTGTTCAAACTTCTTTTTAATTTGTGAAATACACTCTTACCCAGAGATCCTACTCCATACACTCGAGCCGGTTTCAACTCCCTCTCAGCTCGGGCATATTTTGCTGCTGCTACCATTTTCATAGACTTGGTAATTTTCTGAATGTTTTTGATTGACTTCAGTCGCCTGGTAACTGAAAAACATAAGTGCTTTGTTAAAGTAAAGGAATTGTAGGATAGTTTCACTTCAGAATTTATTGAAATATCTTTCTAATGTGCAAGGTAAAATGAATAATAGCAGTTTGAACATTGATACACAGTGAATGAATGATGCTGAACTAAGCTTGATGTTAGAATTAGTGCAAGACTAATAAAGGAAATCAAATCTAATTGCTACTTAGGACAAAGCAAAGTGGCAACATTAAATAACCACATTATACATTTAAAACATTAAAAGATATTAAAAATGGCCTTTATCAATATATTCCACAACACTACTTTCATATAAGGACAAATAGCATTACATTTTCTAATTATGTTATTACCATTTTACAGACAGTAAAATCACACCAAAAGTTTTTCATGTGTCACTTCGTACTGTTTTTCTTCCAAATAGGTCCAATGTTTCACACATATAACATGGATTCATTTGATCAATTTTGATCAAATATATAATGGGTTAAAGCTGTATCTTTACAAGTATTACTTAGTTTGTCTTGTCCTTTAATAAACATATCAAAACAAATAAAGTACTTACTATCTTTCAAAGTTGCCATATTTCGAACTTGGGTCCTAAGAATAAAGATTATAAGAATATTTCAGTGATTTTGAATAACAGCTCCACTATGTAAGAAAAATTTCCAAGCTAATATGTTTAACAAATGCCCCACAGAAATAACCTATCAAATAGAGCACTCTAAATATTTACAAGTATAGACTTCTGGTGCAGCAATGTAGTATAAGCACTAGACTGCTACCACGAGCTGCTCCTCGGAAACCCTACACAGGGTCTCTATGAGTCAGAACCCACTTGATGGTACTTAACAATATATTAATATATACAAATGTCTTATAAACTTTAATTCCTTAATATTGATACCAAACCCTGTATTAAAAGCCTTGCTTTATTATACCTATATAACACACACTTACCATTAATGCCACAATGCATTCACACATGACCTATTTATACCTCCTTGCCATTATTATTTCTATGGCAGTGAAGTCCTTGTCCTGGCTAGGCTATGCATCTATACTTAGAATCAAGGTCAATCACCTCTAAAAAGCATTACTTGACTTCCTCAATTTACTGTCGATTATACATTCTAACATGACTATATGGAAAACTTTAGAAGTGAATGTAGTTTGTTTGAAACAATGTTTAACTTTTCAAGTCAATTAAACATTTAGTCAGCAGCTACTATAGTCCTTGGTGAATAAAATATGGTCTCTAACCACAAGGAGCTTACAATATAAAATAAATACATAACATTTACATTAAATATTTTTCTGTACTCTTCAAAGTTAACATGAGACAGATAGTATTTATACCTAAGAGTCAAAATTATTTGACTTTTTTAAGCTCTGAAATCTTGACATAACTAAAATACTACTAGCAGGTTGACTACTCAGAAAAATATGTATGACTCATGGGATTTAAATAATTCACTTTTCTTTTTCTATTGTTATTTTCACATAGGTTTATATAAACTATATAAAATAACAATATATAAAATAACAACAGAAAAATAACCTTCTTTTCTAAGGTCTCAGACTTTATAAATGAGGTCTAGTGGATTGGTGGTAGTGGTGGTTATGTGCCGGGGAGTCAGTTCTGACTCATAGCGACTCTGTACAGGGTGGTTTCCGAGGTTGTAAATCTTTATGGGAGTAGAAAGCCTCATCTTTCTCCTGAAAAATAGCTGGTAGTTTCAAACTGCTGACGCTGAGGTTAGCAGCCCAATTCGTAACCACTACGGTAGCAGAGCTGCTTTCTGGTGGATAAGTCAGTATGTATTTAACATAGTTAAATTATCTTTTGGCTCTCAAATTCACACAAAGCAAAGAAAGTTTCCGGGGAGAATTGAAGAATATGCAAACTAGTGCATAAATAAGGACCTAATAAGGGCGTTCTGGAAATTAGATCTTTTGAATGATATAACAGTGAGAAATGGTAGAAGATGAGGCTGGAGAAAAGGCTGGAATTAATAATAAGTTTAATTTTTTTTTCTTCTTAGTAGTAGGACACAACAAAGGAGCTCTGGTAGCGTAGTGGTTACGACTCGGGCTGTGAACCGCAAGGTCAGCAGTTCGAAACTAGCAGCTGCTCCGCGGGAGAAAGATGAGGCTTTCTACTCCCGTAAAGATTTACACCCTCGGAAACCCTGTACAGGGTCGCTATGAGTCGGTTCCGACTCCACGGCACATAACAACAACAACAAAGTAGGACACAATGCATGTTTATAGAGCCCCCCACAAATCTGGCTGGTTTTCGGTTAATGTGCCGAACTGCACAGTTGTTTTGAACCATAAGGTTGGTGGTTCAAGTCCACCAATTACTTGTTGAAAACTCTATACAGGGTTGCCATGGGTCAGAACTGACTCAATGGTACTTCTCAACAACAATGGCAGTGAAAAGCAAATAATAAAGTTGCAAGATTAATGATAAGAGAGGTTAAAAACCTGAATAAGATGTTGGCAAAGTAATAGAAGGCTAGATTTGGGAGCAAGCTCTTAAGAGTGAGGAAGAATCCAATAAGGATAATCCAAAGATTTGTAATTTAATGATCAGAATGACACTGAGAGAAGACCTGGGTGGGGATGGTTTCCTTGGAGACAATGAATTTTGGATATGACATAGTTAAGAAGACTACCAGATGGAAATGTCAACGTCTGGGAAACAACAGAGATTTTGGGATTGGAGAGGCTATAGATATACAGAGTAGTTGATGCTACTCCTCCTCTCCCTCCAAAAACCCAATCAAAATGAAAAAAAACCAAACCAACTATAGGCAGAATTAGAAGAAACTTGTCAACCAAACAGTGTTTTAGTGAAATGAGTAATAACTGTGCACAGATCGTAAAATCAAAGTGGCATTCTAAAGTGCTTGAGGTGGAAGGATGGAGGCAGGTAACAAGTAGTATCCTGAAAGTAAAGGTCAAGAGAAGTCTGTTGTAGGATGAAGTTTGAGGCTAAGAAAAAGAAGAAAATGGAAAGAAAAGATATTATAATAAATGTAAAACCTATATAATGAAAAATTCAAATGCCTCCCTGGGTCAGATAGTTAACAGAGTTGTTGTTAAGTGCTGTCGAGTCGGTACCGACCCAACACTATGGGTTATGCACAGCAGAAAGAAACACTGCCCAATCCTGGGCCAACCTCACTACTGTTGCCATGCTTGAAAGCCCATCCATGCTGCCACTTGGTCAATCCATCTCGTTAGGGGTCTTCCTCTTTTTCTCTGACCCTCCAACTTACCAAACATGATATCTTTCTCCAGAGACTGGTCCCTCTTGACGATATGTCCGAAGTATGAGAGACGAAGTTTAGCCATCTTGGCCTCCAAGGAGCACTCTGGCTACACTTCTTCCAAAATGGACCTATTAGTTCTTTTGGCAGCCCATGGCACTTTCAATATTCTCCTCCAACACCATAACTCAAAAGCATCATTCTTCTACGGTCAATTGATGCAAATAGAGATGAAGAAAGATACACTATGCTAACACTAATCAAAAGAAAGCTGGTACTGTTGTTGTTAGGTGCCATTGAGTTGGTACCAACTCATAGCGACTCTATGCACAGCAGAATGAAACACTGCCACTATATTAATTTCCAACAAATGGACTGTAGAAGAGAAATTATCAGCGACAAAAAGGGCTATAATGAAAAAAGGTCAATTTTCCAAGAAAATATAACAATCAATAGTATATACACAACCCTATGGAACACTATAAGATAAGCACTAGACTGCTAACTACAAGGTCAGCATATCAAACCCATTAGCCACTCTGTAAAAGAAAGATGAGGCTGTCTGCACCTATAAAGATTTATAGCCTCAAAAATCCTACATAGGGTCACTATAAGCCGGAATTGACTTGATGGCAGTAGATTTCAATTTAATTCATAATACATGCAGTGAAAAATAGAGTTACAAGGTGAAACAAACCCACTTTTAAAATAGAAGAGTTTAACAGCCCACTGTGTCAGTAACCAGAAGTGTTGGGCAGCTAATTGCAAGGTTGGTGGTTCAAACCCACTAGAAGAAAAGAAGAGGCTGGCTGCTTCCAAAAAGATTTACAGTCTCAGAAACCCTAAGGAGCAGTTCTATTCTATCCTACAGGGTGACTAGGAGCCTGAATCAACTTAAGGGCAGTAGGTTAGATTACCAGTAATTGGTAGATCTAGTAGACAGAAAATCAGTAAGGAACGTAAACAGTACCATCCATCAACCGAATCTATTTGGCATTTATAGGATATTTCTATAACAGCAAAATATACAGTCTTCTAAAGTTCCATAATAAAGGAGCTCTGGTAGCGTAGTGGTTACGAATTGGGCTGTGAACCTTAAGGTCAGCCGTTCGAAACTACCAGCCACTCCGCGGGAGAAAGATGAGGCTTTCTACTCCCGTAAAGATTTACACCCTCGGAAACCCTGTACAGGGTCGCTATGGGTCGGACCCGACTCGATGGCACTTAACAACAACAACAAAGTTCCATAATATTCACCAAGACTATAATCTGTGCCATGAAACACTGCTTAACAATTTAAAAGTATAGAAATCATACAAAATATGGTCTTAGGCCACAATGCAATTAAATTAGAAATCAATGAACAAAGATAGATGAAAAATCCAAAATACTTGGATATTAAAAAATACACCTCTAAATAACACATGGGTCAAAAATGTCTCAAAAGAAACCAAAAAAGTTAAATTTACAACAAAACAAGAGCAATGTTAAGCCTAGATGAAGCTTAAGAAACAACAAAAATTGAACAGATACCTGTAAGATTAAAAACAGAAAGTTAATGGGGCAATTAATGAAGCCAAAAGTTGGTTCTTTGAAATGATCAGTAACTAGGAAAAAAAGAGAAGGCATAAATGACTAATAATCAGAAATGAAAAATGGACCATCACTATAGATCCTATGGAAATTAAATGGAGTATCTCTATGCCTCCAAACTTGTTAACTTAAATGAAATGGGCAATTCCTTGAAAAATATAAACTACCAAAACTTACACAGTTGGAAGTTACTCGTCTTAGTTATCTAGTGCTGCTATAACAGAAATATCACAGTGGATGAATTTAACAAACAGAAATGTATTTTATCAGTTTGGGAGTCCGGAAGTCTGAATTCAGAGCACTGGCTCTAAGAGAACACTTTCCCTGTCAGCTCTGAAGGAAGGTCCTTGTCTCTTCTCTGCTTCCTTAGAGATTTCCATCTGGTTTGACACTTCTTTTACCTCATCTCTACTTTTCTCCTTTGTTTAACTTCTTTTGTATCTCAAAAGAGATAGACTCAAGACATACTCCACACTAATCCTGTGTCATTAACAAAGACTACCCATTCCCAAATGGGATTATAATCACAAACATAGAAGTTAGGATTTACAACACATATTTTTTGGGTGGGGGACCCAATTCAATCCATCACAATCCATAATAGTTAAAGACACAAAACCAACAATTAATAACTTTTCAAAAAAGAACATATCAGGCCCAAATGATTTCACTAGTAAATTCTACCTAACATTTAAGAAATGATACCAATCCTCTAGTCTCAGAAGCAGA